TAAAGCCAAACTTCTAACCTATGACTTCCTTCACTTCATGAAAATCATCCTTTCACATAGCGTTCTGAAGTATTGATCTTCCTAGGGCGCCTCTTTGCCCCCCCCCCCCCCCCCTTTTTCCTCCCTTTCGCCTCTTTCTGTGCCTAATACATTTTCTGCCTGTGGAGGCCCCACATTTTTTCTTATAAGGAAATTCAGATGTAAGTTTCCCAGTCACAGTTTTGATTCTTTGATATACTCTTTCTTTCAACTTGCAACCACCGAGAATCTATTTTGCAAGATGGCAGCATTGACTCCTTTATAATTCCTTTACAAATTTGGAGAAAAAGAGTTTTAAAAAATTCACATATTCTCAAGCACTGCCCCCCGCCCCCCACCAATCCAGATAATAAAAACTGATTAGACTAGTAACACACACTGACAAAATATATAATGAATAAAAAAAATCCACTTACAGTAGTAACCAAAATTAACTCTTGGGTGTTAGATAAAGTCTAAAACACTAATGAAACTGAAGACTTCTTTTTAAAACATTGATAAGGCATTGAACTTTTATGTCAATGGACCCGGGTCATGGGGATGTTTTCTTACAAGGCAAGCTGAAACTTTTGATATTGCTCCTGTGTGAGAATCAAGCAATTTCTCACAGGCAGAATGTAACCAAGTTTTTGGAGGGAGGACAGATTATTTGGACAAGGTGGAGGCAGATCTTTCCACAGAAGGGTATGATTACAGTGTCAATATCAAATTCTTACACATTCTATTTGCTTTTGTTTTCTGGGTGAAAAATAAGTTTGTGACTCATACATGGTAACAGAACAAAAAGAACTATGGCCAGTCACACCACTGACTTGATGTACTTTTGGAAAGCTACTATGTTCCTGAACAGACATGTTTGTCCTCTGGGAAATTGTGGGAGGTACGTGCTCCACAGCAGGCCTTCATGGTCACCAAACCATGACAGCAAACTTCACACGAAGCAGGGAATGTGGCAATTCTTGCTGCCTCCTCATGATGAAAGAACGTGGAATTGTTGACGCAGGGTTTACCCGTCTAGACTCAAAACTGAAGAGCAAAGGCTTGCTGCTTTCATCTCTGTGTTTGAATACTCAGCTTGTTGAGTCAGACCAATGGTGCCCAAGAACCATGAAGTAACTTCTGAGTACTTATGAAGTAAGTCAACACAGAAAGCCTTTAGGCAAAACCAGTAGCGCAACTTACTGGAGTTCAGGTTCACTTAGCAAGTTGGCATTTAATGCCTCTTTTGTTCTTTACTTTTAGTGGTTCTTGAAAGCATTTTTACTTGCCTCATAGTCTTAATATGATCATTTTCCTTATCACACTCCCATTCACTTCAGATGTAGGAGTCTCAGCTTTTTTGAGTTATAGGTTAATACTTATAGGTTAATACTTAACCTTTCTTAATATTCTTCAAGTTATGTATTCTCATTTCTATGCTCAATTCTATAAGATTTTGATCTTGGAGGGAGAGCAATCAGTGGTTCTGAAGAGAAATCTTAGCTCCCTGTCCAGGGATTGAACCTGGGTAGCCTGGATGAAAACCAGGAATCTAGCTACTAGACCACCAGGGGCCAGAGGCTAGAAGCACAGTGGTTCTGGCTCTTTCCCCCATCTGAAAGCAAGAATGTTTCAAGGAGGCAAAAACTGTAAAAACAAAGTTTATTATCAGAGACACAGCACAACATGTGGGACAGCACACAGAGAAAAGGTTTGTTTGTTTAGACGGAAGCAGGGCAGAAAGACACAGACAGAAATGGTGTGGGTGGCCTCCCTAATGAGGAGGAGTGTAGTAAGTTAGAAGCAAGACAGAAATACACACTTGGAGACGAATGCCGGCCGGTGTACTGAATGAGGAGGAGGGCAGTGAGGAAGTGACTTAAATCATGTAAGTAGGACAGTCCTTCCAGGTTTTTGTTTACCTTTGGCCAATTATCTTGTTTCTTTCTTCACAGCTGAGGTCCTAGGACCCTCCCTGGTATGCATGTGCAACTTTTTGTTAAGATGGATTCCCCACCATAGAGGCCTGTGGGTGCATGTTCACACTTAATATGGGGTTGGACTCCCTCCCTTTCTGATCCCCCAGAAGCCTTCCTGCACATGTGCAGACAGGGAAGTCTTCCTTCACCTTAGGAGTAGGTACCTTATCTCTTACTTAATAGCTTTTGTCACTAGCGTTGTCCCCTGAGAATCTGGATGAGTACAAAGCTTCAATTTTACTCCAATTGACAAACACCAGCTGTCCAGCCCAGGGGCCCATCTGTCTCCTACCTTAATTTGACTTAAAATTACAGACACAGAGTTGAATATTCCAGTCCACATACTACACATGATAAAGTGAATAGAAGGGTTTTCCCAGAAAAGTTAAAGAACTCTTTCTCTTGGGCTAGTGGTTTTAACTGGAGGTGAGAGATTTACAGCTTCTCCTTCGGTCTTGGGAAAGCAACTATTTAGGAAAGTCGCATATATAAACAATATTGTTTTAGGGAAACAAACATTGTTGGGGGCAGAGGAGTAGAGAAGGAGAGAAGGAGATCATGCTCTAACTAGACATTTATCCACATGTCTAGATATCATTGCACATTTAAATATTTAGAATTTTCAGTAGCATATGAATCCAAGAAAATTTATTGCATTAAGGTAGGCTTCAGATATTTGACATGTAGCTGGTATTTTCATAGTGTGAGAAATATCAAGCTGACATTATGCTTTCTCTGTGATGATTACTTCCAAATGTCAGAGAGTAGAAACTTATTCATAGGACTTCAGGGCCTGAGGATACTGTCAATTTAAAAGACATGCACATCGACTTCTGTTTTATTTAAACATGCTAAATGGAGTATGAGAAGCAGGTTAAGAAATCAACGAAGAAAGGAAAAGCAAAGAAGAAACCTATTGACAAGAAAATTTTACATAGATTGATGCACTCTTACATCAATTTCATGTACACCTTGTGACAACAGGCTTCAGGGATGCCTCCTAATATTTCTGACAGCTGTAGTCTTGCTGTTAATATTATTTGACTCATATTAAAAATAAGATATGAACTACTTGATTTTTTGTCGATCATCTTTAATAAGTAAGTTAAATAAATTAATATTTTGCTACCACTTTTAATACTAACATTGGATTTCAAGCTAAAATTAAAAATAATTAATGATGTTTTAAATTAAAAATTTATTCTTTTGCTCACCAAACTCTTTAGCAGCTACTGAACCTACTGACCTGCTGCTACTGTGGAAATAACTCAAAGGAGTTATTATTAAACAAACTGGCCACATCAGAGATAATTATGCATTTAAATAAACCTTTGTCTTTCCAGTTATGTACACAGCAGTGCTCTTAATTACTTGGGGTCAGTAAAACCCCACTGCATCCTCTGAAAGGCCTTTCCCCTGCAGTTTATCTTGTTAAACTTCCTTTCTGTTCTCAGAAGTCAGTATCTTTTCCTTTTTAAGACCTCTTCTTAGTTGGAGTGGGAGGGATGTTAATGATGGTAATATGAACTCAGTCTTTAAATCAGCCCTGTTTCCCTGACATCCATGGTCAATGACAGGAGTCACTGTGTAGTCATCCAAATTCCCTGATTTATCTCACAAAATGTTATTTCTGATACAAACAAAAATCGTGGGACCTCTGTTAACTAGACCAGCTATTTTTTGGGTCTGCAAAATTTCAAACTGTTACTTGACAAACAAAAGGACAAGTCAAACATACTGAAAAAACTATCACACAGAATCATTGTAATCTTGTTCACAAAACCAACGTTGAAACAGAATGGATTGATAATTCTGTTACCCTACTGGTACGTGAACATTCTTAGATTTGAGTGGAGTTCAAGGATGATCATTTCATTATTAAGCTTCAAGAATCACATTGCTTTGTATCAATTGAAGATCACAAAATGAGTAATGTTGAAAAGCTAGCATTTGCCATATTTACATACTTGATTGTACCCTCAAAGGCCCAGGAGTTCCACTTGCCAGTTTCAGCAGGGCTGTCCCCTGTGATTTGTTTGTTTGTTATTGTTTACATGCTAAGTCGTGTCTAACTCTTTTGAGACCCCATGGACTGTAGCGGCTAGGCATCCTTTGTCCATGGCATTTCCCAGGCAAGAATACTGGGGTGCGTGGCCATTTCCTTCTCCAGGGGATCTTCCTCACCCAGGGACTGAACCTGGGTCTCCTGCGTTGGCAGGTGGGTTCTTTACCACTGAGCCACCAGGGAACCCTGTGAAGGCAGAGACAAATAGGAACACTATGACACTGCTCCCAGCACCTGGGTACACAGGTCCCCAGCAAGGGTCCAGGCCACCCCAGTAGCATCCTTAGAATGCTAGAGGTGGCAGGTCCAACTCTCCCCTTCTGAACCATCGTTAGGAGAAAGAGAAAGAGGAATCCGGTCTTGGTCTAAAGTCTGAGCGCCAGGTACCTCTCAGCATCTGGAGGTTGTTACTGCCCCGGAGGTTTTCCGGTGTCCCATATTGCCTGGGTCCTAGTACCTCCATGAGGGCGGAGAAGCTCCTCTGATCTGTTAACTGCAGTGTTTCTAACACCTAGTTCAATTCTGAGCCAGACAGGGGCTAACCTCTTCTGGTCACTTCCCTACCCCCCCCACCCCCCCCAACCTCCAAGTTCCCTTCAAGGACAAGTCTGGGAGGGAATGGCTAGTGTACAAAGCCCGGACTAAAGTTAGAGAATTTCCGGCTTTGCTAGCCGGCTTCCCTCTGTCAGAAAAGCAGCGGGTGAGCTGCAGGGTGGCCTCTGGCAGACACCCTGCCCTGGACCACAGGGCCTTCACCCTCTGAGAAAAGCCCCCCAAACAGCGTGAGTCTTCGCGCTGCAGTTACAGAGCCGGAGCTTGTGGGCGGGGCGTCTAGTGCCATCCAGCCCGCGGAGCGCCCCCTGGTGGCCGCCCGGCCGCACTGTTCTGGGACGGCCGGGGCGGCAGCGGCGGCGGAAGGGGCGGTGCTGAGCGTGCGGGGCGGTGCGGCCATGGCGGAGCCGGTGCGGGAGGAGCTCTCGGCCCTGGCAGCAATTTTCTGCGGGCCGGACGAGTGGGAAGTGCTGAGTCTCTCAGGTGACTACTTCCGCGCCAGAGGGACCCGGGCTCCCCACCCACCCCGACTGGGCTCATCTCCCCGAGCCCACACTTGGGGGCCGGGGTAGTTGAATGATGGAATGACAGGCGCCGGGACTGGGCGTGTGTGGGAGCAGGCGGAGTGCGGCGACCCCTTAAAACGTGAATAGTGCAGCGCCCCTTCCCGCTGCTCTGCAGTCAACTGAGAACATAACGCTCAGCCCGTCGGCCGGTCCCTGCTTCCCGCGCCCCTTCATCCACTGGTCGGTCTCACCCACTACTCTCGCGTTTCACTCCCACTCGCCCGTTCCCACCTCCATTCGCCCCCGCCCCCAATTCCTTGATTTCCCTCCACTCTCCCGTCCCTCCCCCACTCGCCTCTACACCCCCTCAAACATACTCCCCCCCCCCCCCCCCCCCCCCCCCCCCCCCCCAAACCTACCCCCCCCCCCCCCCGCGTTGCACCCCCTAATTGGCCTGATTACTCCTCAGCTCGCTGAGGGCTACCAGCTGCGCCCTCCTGGACAGCGTCCCCCCAGGCTTTCCCTGGGTGTCCTGAACTTATTCTTCAGATCTCATCTTAAAAAGAGGTCTCTCCCAACACCCCTAGTTTAAAGCCAACTTCCCCATCAGGGCACCCGCTGAAGTTAAACTAAATGGGTATTTGGTTGTCTCAAGTTGCAAGAAGGCAGGACCCTGTCTGTTTTGTAATCACAAAACTGCAGGCACCTAGGTCAGTGCCAGGCACATGGTAAATCATTGTTGAATGAATTTTTGAATTCAACCAGCGCTCAGTCAGAACTCTCTCAGTTAGATTGTTTTTCTTCAGCTTTTTCTAGTTCGCTTAAAGGTGGTTATCAATTACAGGCTCTTGGGGCGCATTAATTGTTCCGCTCACATTTGAGTCCCTGAAAACGCAAGGTTTCAAAGACACTGTCCCCCGGAGCTTACAGTCTAGAAGGGTTATTCTGGCTTTATTTTCATGATAGCGAAAACTTACTCTCTGTACCTGTCTGTAGCTTCTGTTAAGTAAAAAACAAAACTTCAGTTTATGAAAAAAGTGCAGTGATGCAGATGATTTTCAGTTTTCACTTAGCTTTCAAATACATTATGTAAATTTTTTGGCATGAGATTTAAACTTCTGTCATGTTTCAGCTGTTATTAAAATTGTCTTTCTGACCATAAATTGATTGACCTTTAAGAAGGTAGTCTAAAATGTCTGGGTGTTGTGAGAAAGCTGTCAAGGGTTAGGGTCTATTCCTCGTGTCCATGTGATGTGTTATTCACCTGCGGAGCAGGGATGGCCTCCTTTTCCTTTTTTTCTCTTGATCACCAGTCTGTACACATTCATTTAGCACTGACGTGTTCTGGGCACTGTGAACCAATTTATGTGGTGAAGCTGCTTGCTTTTCAATGCCTAGCCTGTCTTGCAGCTTTCTGAAACAACGTTTAAAATCCTTATGAGAAGATTTACTCACTTTTAGTTTTTTTTTTGTCATCTATCTTCTGATTGGATAGCATTTGTTATTCTTTATCATCTTACTTGCTGTCTTTACTACTCTCTTTATTGATAATTACTTCATTACTTCTACTTGAGGCAGGCCATTTGAGGATATCATTAGTTTTCTTTAATTCCTTTATTATGGCTCAACTGGAAATATCCTGGGAAAATGAACTTATGATTTACCATTACACCTGAAAGAGGATGGATTGATGGTGGTCTCTGTCCTCAGTACATGGTTGAGCATATGACACTGCTGACGGTTCAAAGACCAAAAAAAAGTAAGCAGAGAAAGAAAGGGAGCAATTTTTTGATACAAAGAACACTGTGGACCCTTTATCTGCTGTTAAATTGAGCATGACTTCAAGCCATGCCTCCTAATTAATTTAATTCAGTGTTCTGGCATCAGTAAGTAATTGAATTATAAAAGAATTCAGTGTAACAACTTAGGACATTTTGTTGCTGAAAGGTTCATTGGAGAATAAAACAATTCAGTGGTTGAAATAGGAATGTTTGATGTTCACAAGGGGGAATTAAGGGTAAGTAAGAACTTCTTTATAATAGACCGCAGTAAACATCCAGTGGGCTGCTGGCTACCACTCTCGTGGTCACTGTCAGCTTGGATTGGAGGATATAAGCTTAACACCAGAAGATTCTGAATACCATCAATTCCTTCCTGGCCTTCCCCTCAAATAAGCTTCTCTTTGTTGCCCCTGAAATCAGGTTAACATTGGTAGGATTGCGCTTCTGGTAGAAGGTAGCCCAGGAAGGCTCAGGCTGCCAACCCAGGGGTCATCTAGTAAGGCCATACGATTGAAGAGTCTGAATAATTGCATTCTTTGGCTGGACTAATTTGTGCTGAGAATTTCAGGGGACTTACATACACTGTGGCCTCTTTGTGGTGGTTGTAGTAAGTTCATTGTAAGAGGCATCAGCTGTAGCTTTGTCTTCTGGGTGTGAATTCTGAGAGCTCTGACACCGGTCCACTAGGGCGTGCCATGCGTAGACCAAGTCGGGGGCATTCTGCTGCTGCCTGCGCAGTGCTGCCGGGAGCCAGCTCACGAGATCCCACCCATGACAAGGTCAGGAGGAGGAAAGCTGACCGGCAAGGCGGATCAGGTTTTCAGGGATTCCGAAAAGCTGCCCCCGGCGCTCACCTTAAAGATGATATATCTGTCTTTCTGATGCTTGCTTCAATAGACTACTCCCTAATTTCTGTGACACAGGCAGAAGGCCTTCCCCGATCTCTTCCCAAATAAGAATCAATTGAGAACTTTATAATCAATAAGTTTCCTGGGTGGTGGTACTTTATGAAATTATCCAGGTTGAAAGGAGTGTTTTAATTTAAACTCCTTTGCTGGTATTTTAGTTTGTTTGGCAAATGTGTCTATGCCCTTGGTACTAACATGCATGACTGCTCATAATACCCTAGTCATAAAACAGCATAAAGAACCTGATCATATAAAGGCCCTAATAGACATAGAGCCTTTTTGGGGGTTGAAGGAGTCCTATTAGAAAACATAAGAAAAATTGTTCTAAAGGTGGTTATTGGGTTGATGTTTACTTGCTGTGTTTTTGCTTTTAATGTGCTAAGGTTGTGCTGTGGAAACCATTGTTAATATAGTTATAGATCTAGAAAAATAAGAGCTTAGCCCTACTGTGTAACAATGAAACGGTTGTTAATTATTACCCAGGAGTCCTAGGCAGGGGCTGCCTCACCAAAGTCGCAGAGTCAGTGTGTGGTAAACTTCTTAGATAAACTCAACTGACAACTTCTGCAGAAGGATTAATTTTTGTGTTAACAAGGATATACTTCTACTCTGTACTGTTGCCCTATGAGACTGCTTACCTTTCAGTTAAGGTCACCACAGAAATGGAAAATAGGCTTACATTCACCTGACCCGCATAAAATGTTAATGGGCCACAAGGCCAAAGATAATGTGCTAAGATTTACTATAGAATTAGAAAGCAGAAAACATCCTGCTATTCCTAAAAAACAAACTGATGTAATACTAATCCTGTGTAAGCATGAGTAAGCATCGTGTACCTTGGAAACGTTCTGACTGAGGGTATAAAAACTGTTGTCAAAAAGTAGAACACAGACTTGGCCCTATCACGGCTGGTCTCACGTGTCTTCTCTCTCTCTCTCTCGCTGATGCCGTTCATCCTGAGGGTACCCCCTGGATCCTGCCGAGGCTGGACCCCGGCACAGTGCAGTCAGACAAAGTGCCAGGTTTAATGGGGTCGCCTGCCATATACCTGATACTTTAAATGCATCTTATTTGATGAGAGGTATTCTGTTTTTTTTTTTAATTTCAAGATTTTTTATTTTTAGCTTATTTTTCAAGAAGTATTTATGCATATGTACATAATCTCTTGTATATCTGAGAGAACAAATGGTAGAGAAGAAGGGGCAATTTGAACAACTTTATTCAAAAGAAAGATAGGTAATCTTAAGCTGTGATTAAGCAAATGAAATTGGCAAGGAATTATTCTCAGATACTGGGAAAACAGTGGCAGGGAATCCTGAAAGACATTTAAAAGATATGTCAGTGAAATATAAGGTAAGGTAGAACACTAACATCTTTTTTCATGGAAGCTAGACAAATCTAGGCTTTCCTGGTGGCTCAGTTGGTAAAGAATCTGCCTGCCAATGCAGGAGACCTTGATTCAGTCCCTGGGTTGAGAAGATCCCCTGGAGTAGGGAATGGCAACCCATTCCAGTATTCTTGCCTGGAGAATCCCCGTGGACGGAGCAGCCTGGCAGGCTCCATGGGGTCGCAAAGAGTTGGACACGACTGAGTGACTAAGCACACAGCACAGACACATCTAAAGGAGAAAACGTTAAATCTGCCAGGCTTGTCATTAGTCCCGATGAGGAGTGCTCTTTACTTTAGAGAAAATAATAGATGCTCAGGTTGATTTAGTAACCACTAGGGTGGACTCTTGCAGTGCATCATGCTCCTTAATAGACATGAGTTGCTGCAACAGGAAAAGAGCTCTTAGAGAGCAGGGATAACACTTGTCCAGATAAAGAGAGCAAGATGAGCACCCAGAGCAAAGAATCAGGTGGGGTCCAACTTACGTTCAGAATAGTTCTGAAGGGTAATGTGTGTGCCTGGCCGTGTGGGTACCTGTGAAGTAGGTGAGACTGCTGATGTTACAAATCTTCATTTTCTTGATGAGGTAATCAGAGGTCACAGAGTATATTACCATAGTCAGTGCTCACTATACATTGAATTGTGTTTCTGGAAATCATCTTGCAGATAAGCATGTTGTAAAGTGGGAGGTGTGTAAGACTCAATATCATAGGCTATGTTTGCATGGTAGCTTCAGAGTAAATTTTTGTATTCTGCTAACACTACTGTTCAGACTGCATTGGACCTTCCTGCAAAATGAGTCATTACTGTCACCCACTGACCCCTCTAAATCTGCTCAGCTCTGTTTCCTGCTGATTGTCGGTACCGAGGTCACCTCTAAAACCAATTCAGCCCTGAACTTCACTTCTAAAGGAGGGATTGCCACTTTGAGCTTCACTTAGTCTTAGTTTTTTTTCTTTTTTTCTTGTAACTACCTTTTAAAATATATAACAATTGCCAGCTGCAGCACTGGTTGATGCATACTTGTGGGGAGGCGTCCGGGAGCAAGAGGGAAAAAAAATTCTGTACGATGAAGTAAGAGAGGCTGTTGGGGACTTTTTGGTGGTATGTAAATACTGCAAAGAAAAAAAAAAGCAAGTATTGGGAAAGCCAATTGTATGTGGTATATAAATGATTTCTTCAGTTTAATTCAGTTCAGTTGCTCAGTTGTGTCTGACTGCACTGCAGCACTCCAGGCTTCCCTGTCCATCACCAACTCCTGGAGCTTGCTCAAGCTCATGTCCTTCGAGTCGGTGATGCCATGATTCAATGATACAGTGATTGCAATGATGCAATCATGATGCAATGATAAGAATTCTTAATAGGCTCTAAATGAATCTTGAAGAATTCATTCTCTTAAATTTGTTCACATTTTCCACTGTCTTCTGTTATTGTACAGCATTTATTGAATTTCTGTTGTGTGTGTGTAGGGTGAATTCTTAAAAATAATGGTATGGAATTTGGGGTTTATTTCAGTTTCTCTAGTTTGAATTTCTGTTGTTTGGAGTGTAGTTAGCATAATTTCTTTCATATACTTGAAGAATAAGGTTTGAAACCCCTATTTTGGTTATGAAGTTGATACACTTATTTTAAGGCATAAAGACTTATTTAAAAAAAATCCAAACTAGGGAATAGATATGTGAACTTTTAACCAGAGGCAAGACTTAAATCTTTTGCTAGGATCTTTAGGTGAAAATAGTCTTGGAACTTATGAAAATTATAGATACCTAGGGCAGGCATAAGTTTTCTGTGGCATAGATGTTTATTGAGAATGATGAGTTTGTGAGTTGAACTTAATAACTAGAGTGTCTTGGTGCCAGGGAAGGCCAGAGATTAACAGTAGGATATAGAACACCATTATTTTTCTGTTAATCACTCTGTTTCTAAGCTGTTAAATAAACGTAAAGTAGATAGGAACAACCTTGTTTTCTTTTTTATGGAAAAATAACCCAAGTCAGACTGACAGTATATGTGATTACATGAAAATTTCTGAGGCAAAAAGAGCCAGTTTAATTACATGTTTCTAGAGTTTTAGGGAGAAAATGAGTTTTTGAAAGAATGTACAGTTTTACTACTGCATTAAATATCAGAGGTATTGGGGTATGTTATTGGGATTTTCATTTTCTTACAGAGATAGCATCATTTTGTGTAATTTCAGTTTTCAACTCCTGTGTGTGTGTGTGTGTGTGTGTGTGTGTGTGTGTGTGTGTGGAAGGAGTCACAGAGAAAACCAAGTAGGAAGGTTGTTAGTCCTTTAATTCTTGATAGAATTAAAGTAGTTTTCCTTCTAAACATAACTAATAATTTCACAATTTCCAAAGCTAAAGTCAGGATTTTCTCTCATTGCTTTTCTATTTGCTGACTTGTTGTTTAGTTGCTAAGTTGTGTTCAACTCTTTTGTAACCCCATGGATTGTAGCCCGCCAGGCTCCTCTGTCTATGGAATTCTCCAGGCAAGAATAATTGACACAGAGAATAGACTTATGGACATGGGGATGGACGAGGGAGCGTGGGGAGGAAGGAGAGGGTAGGATGTGTGGAGAGAGTAACATGGAAACTTAGGTTACCGTGTGTAAGATAGATAGCCAGTGGGAATTTGCCGTATTTTCAGGGAACTCAATCCGGGGCTCTCTAACAACCTTGAGGGGTGAGATGGGGAGGAAAGTGAGAGGGAGGGGACATATGTATACTTAAGGCTGATGCATGTTGATGTTTGTCAGAAATCACAGTTCTGTAAAGCAGTTATCCTTCAATTAAAAAAAAAGTATTTTCAATAGATGAATTAATAAAAAAAGAATACTTGAGTCAGTTGCCATTTACTTCTCCAAAGGATCTTCCCAACCCAGGGATCGAACCTGAATCTCTTATGTTTCCTGCGACTATTTGTTAAATGATGAATGAAGAGCGTTAAAAATTATGTCTCCCCCTTGAGAGGGAAAGTGGACTCTCTTGATGATTTCTGGAGGGTTTATTTAGTCTAGTGGTTACACGTTGTCTGTTGGTCTATTTATAATACTCATTTTACTAAGTGAAATGTAATGATCTTACTGACATCCAGGGAGCCTACTTTCAATAGTATTTTTTTTTAAAGGAGAAGTAACAGGATAGAAGAAAGAAAGACTTTGAGAATCTGGTGATGCACTTTAGGGGAATGCACTAAGTTGTTAGGAAAATTTTTCTTTATGCAGCCACGTTTTTCTTATGTAATACAAATTTAAGTTATATCATTTTAATATGATCTTTATAATGCTTATTGCCTGGGTTTTGGGGTAGTGTCCTGAAACAGCAGTGCTTTGCCTTTGATACTGAAGATTCTACTAAAGAAAAACCTTGTGTAATGGATATGTTTGGTCCCATATAAATCAGTCTGTAACCATGGCTTCTGAATAATTGGAATCAGATGGCTAGAGAGCCATTTTAATGTTCTGTTCAGTTCTTTAAAATGGGGATACATTCAGGTTTCTATTGTCAAGGCTGTTGAGTAGCAATCCAGGTATGAAAATGAGAATGATCTGACTGCCTGTCTTGTGACGGAGAATGAAACAAGGGCTGTGGAGATAGAAGTAGGGTAGACAAGGCAAGTTAACTTCAAAGAGCCTCCTTGGCACCCAGTTCTGTTCTACTCTTCTCTTCTGATCTGTGTGCTTCTGACCCCTGCAGAATGAATCAGCCTGACGTTTTATCAACTTGTGAAAAGTGGGGTGAAGTGGTGTGGAACACATCAGAGGGGTGAAGTGGAGCAAATCTGAAAGAGAGCAGAGCGTTTCATCTTGTATCCTGTGTATACTTTCCCCTTTCCCCCTCGTCCTGGAGCCAGAAAGCGGCTGAACTGATGGCTGCCCCATTTTAGTTCCTCTCGCTGCCTTCATGTTGCACTGATGATAATGCATCTGAAGTGAGAAAGAGCGGGTCCAGGCAGTGACTGTGGTGGTGTTCTCTGCACCCTTACAACCACCACAGGGGATCCAGGATTTGCTTCTGCTTGGACTCACTGCACCATGATTTTCATTGGATTTAGTGTATAGCTTTTAAGCTAATTCCTGATTTTATAAATACACGATTCTATTTCTTTGAAGGTTCATGTGAGTTTATTAGGAATTTCCAGAATTAGCAACTAAGTCTGGGTAGAAAAAAAAATCATATAAGGAGAAACCTTTCTGGTGACCTTAATAAAAAGAGGATAATAGCAATTGTAAATGCCAGTGAAATTCTGGGTGCTGGTTGAGCATGATTCTATGACTGAAAGAAAACACCTGTAAATCATGGCTTTCTTAGTGTGATGTGTCTCATCATAAAATAACTTAATTTTCACATGAAAAATAAAATTGACATATGAAACCAAAATTTTCTCTTGTTAGTGTTCCATTCAAATTGAATTAGGTACAACTAATCATTATTTTTGGATGCTTTCCAGAGACAGATGGGGCTGTGTTCAGAATTCTCACAAAAGCTGAAGGATTTACAGATACGGATATACCCTTGCAGTTGGTGTTTCACTTACCGCTCAGTTACCCATCCTGTCTACCTGGTATTGTGGTGAACTCCAAGGACTTGACCAGGGCCCAGTGTGAAATCGTGAAGGAGAAGTTACTGGAGCAAGCAGAGACCCTTTTGTCGGAACCTATGGTTCATGAACTGGTTCTTTGGATTCAGCAAAACCTCAGGCACATCCTCAAGCGCCCAGAAGCCCGAGGTGGCAATGAAAAGTGCTCTTCTGCAGAAAGCATGACTGTGGATGATGGGTTGTGGATGACTCTTTTGCATTTAGATCACATGAGATCGAAGACTAAATATGTCAAAACTGTGGAGAAGTGGGTTTCTGATTTAAGGCTGACAGGAAGACTGATGTTCATGGGTAAAATCATACTGATTTTACTGCAAGGAGACAGAAATGACATCAAGGTGCCAAAAAGTTTGATGTTGAATGTGAATTTGGCTCTTTTCTGCTAAAATGGTGTTTTATAACAATGGGGCAGATGAATCATTAAGATGTTTCTGCATGCCCTCTTACCATGTTAATAGATCTTTATTTTCTTTTTTAAAGACTATCTGTAACTTCTAATTACAACTACAGACTTATAAAGCTTGAAGAATAAGTGGAAGATTGTGTTTTAAAAGTCATGCCACTTAAGGAAAGTGATAGGTTATTAAAAAAGAAATCTCTATGGCACACAAATGTTTGTTTCTGTAATTAGCTTTGAGCCGAAACTTTATAAATTTGCACTAATTTTGTGCCTATTTATATTTCTTTCCTTGGTTAAGCACACAGCATGTATGTATTTGTGGGTAAGCCTGCAAACTTTTAATTTGGCAGTTAAAGATATGTGCTGATGCTTGAATTTGGTATCTGTAGTACCTGGAAAGAGGAGCTGGTCCCTTTTAACCAGGATTTAGTATGAGTGGAAGTAGAATCATTCGGGCTGTCAGCCTGTCATCTCCTCCCTAACTTTTGCTTTCCACCTGACTTGTCTCAGCAGCTGCTTTCAAAATCATCATCTTCTTCAGATTTTTCAAGTTCTCATTCTATACACATCTAACCTGCTTTATGTGGGACCAGACAAGGAAAACTGCTTATTATATGTTAAATCTTAAAAGAGCTACAAATCACATCATGGGTTTTATGCTTTCAAGTGGGTTGGGTCAAGAAAATTACAGTAGAATTTATTTAAAACAGATTTATCTTTCATAACTTACTATCTTAAAGATTTGTGGGGTTATTACAAATTTGTAGGATTACATAGCTTTTTCATGATGGGCTCTTAACACGAAAAGTGGTAATTAATAACCTCAGTTAACCAGAGTAGTGCTAGGTTATAGTGTATAGGTACAACACATTTTCAGATTTAGTACAGATCTTGGGTTGGGGTCTGACCAAGGAACCACATATTTTAAGGTGATGTATAGTACATCTTGGAGAAGGAAATGGCAACCCATTCCAGTATTCTTGACTAGAGAATTCCTTGGACAGAGGATCCTGGCAGGCTACAGTCCATGGGGTCGCACAGAGTCAGACTTGACTGAGCAACTGTCACTGACTCACTCATAGCATATCTATAAAGCTGGACTCTTTTGGGTAAAATACTGGCTGACTAAATGAATGCTCATAATGTCTTTGCTCATGTTTCCCCAAAGGGCTCAGGTTTTTCTTTAAGCCAGCTCAGGCATATTAGGCTAAGTGCAGCTGTTTTGCAGATGTTTTTACTCTGATTGGATCCATCAATTAATGAATATATATTTAATCATATGGCTGCTGCTGCTGCTAAGTCACTTCAGTCGTGTCTGACTCTGTGAGACCCCATAGATGTCAGCCCAGCAGGCTCCCCCGTCCCTGGGATTCTCCAGGCAAGAACACTGGAGTGGGTTGCCATTTCCTTCTCCAATGCGTGAAAGTGAAAAGTGAAAGTGAAGTCGCTCGGTCATGTCTGACTCTTAGCAACCCCATGGACTGCAGCCCACCAAGCTCCTCCATCCATGGGATTTTCCAGGCAAGAGTACTGGAGTGGGATGCCATTGCCTTCTCCGAATCATATGGCTAGACCTGTGCTAATGCAGAGAACTTTTAAAAATAGTTCTTTCTTTTTTATTAACTTTCCCTAAAATGCCATTTAATGTGAATATCTCTGTTAAATTTTTTAAGATTGTTTATCAGAATTGAGAATTACAGGTGCATATTTATGGATTCCATCAGTTTGGAAAGTTTGGTACTGTGTGTCTGTTCACTTCACTCTGACTGAAGTAGTAATAGTCCTGTAATAATGACAGTAGCTGGTGCTGCATTAAGTGCTGTTGTGCCAGGCACTCCTCTAAGTGCTTTGCACTTATTAGCTCATTTAACCATCACAGCTTCCCTATAAGGTAGCTGTTAAGAGCAAGCATTTTATGGAGTAAGTTACTGAGCCACAGAGGGTTTAGGTAGCTAACCACAGAATCAGCTCTAGTAGGCTGACTAGATTTAAGCCTGCGTAGTTGGATTAGAACCTTCTTTACTCCAGCATTCACCAGAATGTTATGCTTCCAAGTACGTAAAAACACTGCATAACTCTCTTACTGCTTGATTCAGAAAGCGAGTACTCTGTCAGCATGCAAACAGGCCAGCAGATTATTTCTCCTTTAAAAGTAAGACTTTGGGATTCAGAGTAAGATACGTATTTAACATACTGTTTTATCATTTAGGAGTACCTGATTCTTCAGAAAACCTGCAAAGTGGATGTGGACTCAAGTGGAAAGAAATGCAAAGAGAAAATGATTAGTGTACTGTTTGAAACAAAAGTACAGACAGAACACAAAAGGTATAATTTAGTACTATTGCAGATGGAAAAGCAACTGAATCAATAATTATACTCTGACAAATTTAGGCATATTCATGAGTTTCTCTTGTATAATGCAGGTTTCTGGCATTTGAAGTCAAAGAGTATTCGTCATTGGATGAGTTACAAAAGGAATTTGAAACTACAGGACTTAAGAAGCTTTTCTCTGAATTTGTACTTAGGCTGGTAAAATGAAGTTGAAGACAGGAATCTTTTAGAGAAATTACAGTGTTTTTTTTTTGTTTGTTTTCTTTTTCCATTGGATTTTGAGAGTGGCTAATTGAAACTCATAAGGGAACAATTTTAGAGTTTCTCTGAAGCAGAATGACAGACACCATCATAACTTCAGGACAAAAGCTAATTCTGCTTATGGAATATTAAACAGTAAAAATACCCATGTATCCTAATTTTGCCAGTAGAAGCTGGGTTCAGTAGATGGAATGTTATTTGAGAGATAAATATAAAAAGATGATGGTAAATGAGCCCTTGTGTTTATACAGAGGATTTGTTTGGAACTGTGCAATTTTCTGGCTAATTTTCTTGTAATTAAATGAATTTTTAAAAAGAAATTTGTTTTCATGTTTACTTTTTTCATGTTTACATTTTTAGCATTTGATAATGATTTTCCCTCATTCAGCTTATTATGTCTAATGTTTTAAGTTGAATGTTAAGAAAAATATAACACTGATTTCTTTGTGGAATTGAATAAATGGTTAGTTTAAATACAAACCAAAGAAGTTCTATAGAACTTGATTTACAATTGCTTTCTTTGGGGTCCCAGAATAGCATGGTGCTTACTAGTTATAGGACTGAAGAGTCAATTTAAAAGAAAATTCTTTTTTGAAAAATTTACATTCTAGTTTTACAAGGGAAGAAATGTTTTACACGAAATGAACTTGACTTACCAGAGGGAGGAAATTATATGGAGATACTATTTTTAATTTCTGATGGAAAATTTGGTAAAGCCTGATAATCTCAAAATGTATTTGATATGATATAAGGAGAGCAGGAATAAAATAAAAGCTTGTGTTGAAATCTGTTCCAAAAGTATAGACAGGCATTTATGTTTAAGGAAGGATATTTGTGTTTATGAATCCACCTGTGCTTTGAAATAAGGGGCCAAGTGATGGAAGAAAATTCACTGTAATCTGCAGTAATGCCATTATAAATTATAGCTGGTGGGAGAGATAAACAAGGAGACATGGCACGCCCAGTAGTGCTTCTTGAGCATGCTGCTCTGACTCTGGCGGTTCAATCTGATCATCTCGTTTTCAGATACCCTTGTAATTAAATTAGACCTACATGTTGATCATTCTATGGGGCTGCTTTGATGAGGGGATTTTGGGTTCATTTTATTTCATTCTAGGGTGTTGGTGATGTTTTTCCTGCATAACTGGTAAATGTGGTTAGGTTGTTCTGTGGGAGGTTAGTATTCTCAGAGTTCAGAAACTTCTAGGAGTCTGTTCCCACTGCTGCACTATTGAGGGTGTTGTAATCGATGCTGGAACTGCTCAGATGGTACCGCCTGAACCAGAGCTAAGATTACTGACAGGTACTGTCTGTGGCCTGTTGGAGTTCAGAATCACTCTACTGCTGTTTCCCCTGAAACCACTGCCAACAAATATCACAGTCCTGGGACTTGCACTACCACTGACTTCCCAGCAGTGCTTCCTATTGACCAAACCTGACAGGAATCCAGTTGTCAAGAAGGAGTCTGGGAAATGTAGTCTGCATGTCCTAACCCCAGGAGAACAGAGCAGAATATAGGAGGGTGGGTGTGCCTGTGTGAAGTGAGGGGAGAGGGAGCTGAGTGCCTATGGCAAGTAAATTCCATCAGTTACTATGATTAGTGTGTGTGCATGTGTGTGTGTGTGCACACGTGTTCAGTGTCAGACCCTTTGTGACCCCTTGGACTGTAGCCCACCAGGCTTCTCTGTCCATGGGATTCTCCAGGCAAGAATACCAGAGGGGGTAGCCATTTCTTCCTCCAGGGATCTTCCCGACCCAGGGATGGAACCCGGGTCTCCTGTGTTGGCAGGTGGGTTCTTTACCACTGAGCCGCCTGGGAAGTGCTACTGTTATCCTTAGAGGTGTTACTTATTCTGGTTGAATCACCTGGATGATTAAACTGTCAAGTGCACCACAACCAACATTTTCTATCTAACTTGATAGGGAAAGGGGGAAGAAAAAAGAGTTAATATACACAGAAATATACAGAACAAACAATAAAGTAGATTTGCTTGAGTACTTGTTTCTATAACTGGGCATGAAGTTGTAGCTGAATTTATAACCTCTTCCCTACTCCATATTTTTTTTTTTTTTTTTTTTGCTCCTGGCCAGCATGCTAGCTGGTCCAGGCTCTTTACCTAGTAAGGTAGCCGAATCTTCATTCTGATAGGTCTGAGTCCTTAGGGGTTGGTTGTGTATTAACTTTTACTGTTAAATAAGAGCACATTAATAGGCAACCCAGATAATCCCCTGGGCTCTTGACATAGTTCATACTGACCCCGTTGTGTGGCAGTAGACCAATTTCCCTGTAATAATATGGATCAACCACCCCAGCCCTTATAGGGACCTCTTTTCCTGCCCATTTGTAGGGATGGGAATAAAAAATTCTGTGAGTGGATTATTAAACATAATAATGAGAAAAATCCATCCTATTTTTTATTCCATAATTCCTCAAACTGTGTATTCTGGCAGTGGGAGAAATAACATCATATTAATATGTCTCAGTAGGTCATTATATTACTCTATCAATCCAGCCGCTTCTGGGTGTTTTGGTCATAGAAAGTCCTATGAATTTCATAGTTGTGAGCCCTTTCTGAAATGAATTTCTCACTTAGAATTTATGTTATGAGAGATAACCATGTCGGTAAGATTATGGTTGGTAGTCTTACAGCAAGAGTCTTAGGATTCATATCCAGAATAAATATTTTCTTGAGGACAATTGCTGGCCTTTCCACTAGAGAAGGGATCCAGTATGATTAGTCACCAGATGGCTGGTGTCTGTCAGGACTGGTCTCTGTTCTTAGTGGGTTAGGTACTCAGCAGTGACAATAGTAAGATTAGTATTGGTGAGAAGAATTTCATGTTGCTGAGTCTGTGTATGGGGTTTCCCTGGTAGCTCAGCTGGTCAAGAATCCTGCAATGCAGGAGACCCTGATTTGATTCCTGGGTCGGGAAGATCCCCTGGAGAAGGAATAGGTTCCCTACTCCAGTATTCTTGGGCTTCCCTGGTGCTCGGATGGTTAAGAATTTGCCTGCAATGTGTAAGACTTGGGTTCGATCCTAGGTTGACAACTTCTATCCTTGCTGCCATAGTTACTTGGTACACGAGCCCACTGAGCAAGCACTGGGATGCTAGGGAAAGAGGATGACTGACATCCAGAGGATGAGTCATCCTGTCCACTTAATCAAGGAAGATGTTCACCACAGTGGTTGCCGTATGAACATAACATGGGACACTACTAGCTTCAAATTTTGTCCTCATCCTGAGAGGTCCATTCACATACTCCCTCCCCAGATTTCCTTGTCATTTGCCTTCTGATCTTAGTCTTTCAAAGTCCCTGACTACCTGACCAATCCATTAGCCCCTTGCCCATGAAACACTGTAGATCTACACCTGTGGACATCTCTTTTCCTAGTTACAGTACACAACCACAAGTACTGTTGAAAATTCTGCCCACTGAGATTTCTCTTGACCACCTTTCAGAGGCACACTAGGTTGCATTGGTAATTTCTGAAGCATATTGTGATAGAAAGAACCATCCTCCGAGTTTTTTCCTCCTCACTAAATAAACTATGGATATCGCTATGACAGCCTAGGTGTGGACTGAGGAAGAAACAGCTGTGCAGTAGTCACGACAACATCTGAGCCACTTGATCATGCAGTTTATTTGTGCCTTCAGGACCTGCTTGAGCATGATCTTGTACACATCACTTCATTTGTACATGTCCATGATGCTGAAGCTGAAGCTCCAATACTTTGGCCACCTGATAGACAAAGAGCTGACTCATTAGAAAAGACCCTGATGCTGGGAGAGATTGAAGGCAGGAGGAGAAGGGGACGACAGAAGACAAGATGGTTGGATGGCATCACTGACTCGATGGACATGAATTTGGGCAAGCTCTGGGAGTTGGTGATGGACAAGGAAGCCTGGCGTGCTGCAGTCCATGGGGTCGTAAAGAATCAGACAGGACTGAGCAACTGAACAATAGCAACTACAACCTTCTTGATTTCATGGATGAAATAATACCTCATTGGTAATGAGAAATGCAAAGTAAAATTCCAACAGTATTACTCGCCACCCACTAGTATAGCTAAAATTTAAAAGATGTATTAATTGCAAGAACTAACAAAGAAATGGAGAACTAGCAACACCAATATACTATTGGCAGGAGTATAATCTGACCCAAACACTTGCAACAAGCAGTTTATCTACAAAAACTGACAATTCCATAGCTTATAACCCATTATTTCTACTTCTAGGCATATACCTTAGAGAAATGTGTGCATATGTATGAGGTTACCTGTATAAGAATGTTCATAACAATATTATTTTAAGCAAGCCAAAGGAAGCAACCTAAACACCCACCAACATAGAATAAACAAGTAAATTGCAGTATATTCATGCAATGAAATACTATACAGCAAATTAAATGAGTGAACTATAGCCATACAGAGCAACATGGCTCATCTTTAAAAAAGCAACATTGAACAAATTAAGTAAACACAATAAAATGTATACCATATGATTGTAAAAGTTCAAAAGCAAGCGAATGACTTTAAACCATGAATGCATACTCAAGTGCTGAAATTAAAAGATAAGCAAAGAAGTTGGTATAATAAAAGTCAGGATGGCAGTTACTTATAAAGTGAAAAAATGGGACTGTGGTTGGAAAAAGGACTTTTTGGGGGTGGGGAATGGCTATATTCTTCCTGAACAGGGTACTGTTTCTCAGACCCTTGGGGTGATGTCTACAATATACACGCACAGTGATAAATTTGGAGACAGATGTAGGAACCAGATCCTTTTGAGTCTTAAAACCCAGTATGAGCCTTTTAAAAAACTGCAGTGGGAATTCATTGCACTGGAGACAGGTGTGATATCTGATTTACACTTTAGTAAGATTGTCTGACTGTTACAAAGCAAATGAGCAGTATGAGAGCCAACAGTGGAAGAATGAAGCCAGTTAGGAGCCTGTTGCAGTGAGTGGTCCAGCTGAGGGACGATAGTGATTTGCTTATGATGGCATCGGAGAAAAGTGGTCAGATATTAGATGTATTTTGGAGATAGAGCTGAACAGACCTTTAAAAATGTATATATATATTTATTTATCTTTGGCTGCATGGGTCTTGGCTGCTGCAGGCGGGCTTTCTCTAGTTGTGGTGTGCAGGCTTCTCCTTGTGGCTTCTCGTTGCAGAGCACAGGCTTTAGGGTGCATGGGCTCAGTAGCTGCAGCTCCTGGGCTTTAGAGCCCGGGCTCAGTAGTTGTGGCCCACGGGCTTATTGCCTTGTGCCATGTGGGATCTTCCCAGACCAGGGATCGAATCTGTATTTCCTGCTTTGGCAGGTGGATTCTTAATTACTGGACCACCTGGGAAGTCTGAGCTGAGCAGATTTGATGCCAGATTGAATGTAGAAGATGAAGAAGAAAGAAATTAAAGATATATTTAGGTTTTTTTTCTTAGTAGCTGGGTGAACGATGGTATCATTGACTTATGAATTAAGGAAGTCTGAGGAA